GTGCTGCACAGAGCAGCTTTCAGTGCAGGAGGCAGGCCATTAAATGCTTTTGAACTCCATTATCTACTCCTGCTTAGAGTGAAATAGTCCTCATAAATGCATACAAATCAAATTGCCTATGAGGTAAGGAATGAGAGGGTACTTTGCTGCCAAATATTTCCTGTTCACATGGTCTACAAACACACATATAATGCAGAATCACAGAGTACAGACAAAGGAATGCAGCACTGATAGGAATCCTGTCCCAAAATCCAATGACTTATCATCTGGTAACAACCCCCAGATTTTGCTTCAGATGAACTCCTCCCACCCCCCACCAGGTTGATGTGCTGCAGATAGAGCCCATGGCCTCCTCTCCGGGCTAGGCATGGGCCAGCCCAGTCAGAGCACCAGAGATGCTTGGCCTCAGTGATTGGATGAGGTATGCCATGTGACCCAGTCAGATGAACTCCTCCCACCCCCCACCAGGTTGATGTGCTGCAGATAGAGCCCATGGCCTCCTCTCTGGGCTAGGCATGGGCCAGCCCAGTCAGAGCACCAGAGATGCTTGGCCTCAGTGATTGGATGAGGTATGCCATGTGACCCAGTCACAGCACTGAGGTGCAGTCTGGGGTGGACAGGACTAATGAGAAAGAAACACGCATTCTTTTTTCACCCCTCTACTCTCCCTGTATCTGGGGGGAGGTGGTCTGAGACTGCAGTCAGCCGTTGGCCATCACACGAAACGTAGGAAGGAAGGCCACACCAAGGAAAGTGAAGCTGAAAGCTGGAGAGACATTAGGTCCTTATGACAATGTTTGCAGGTCCAGAATTCAGTTGAACATCTGAATTTTCAGGTTACATTAGCCAACAGATCCCATTTTTCTTAGACTTAGGTCTTCTTTCATTTGTAATCAAAAGTCCTAAATGATAACCAGTTAAAATGGAGAACTATACATTTCATTCTCAGAAGAGGTTTATCTCACTATACAGATAAGGACGAACACTGAGATGCAGGTAGGTGGCTTGCCAGGTTCTTTGCTAGTTAATATTATGTACAATCAGTACTAGAACCCAGGTCTCCTACATTCTCATGTAATGTTTTCACTATACCTTGTGAAAAATTAATTAAAAAATAGTTATGAAACATATTAGACTTGTTTAAAACTTAAAGCTTTGCTCCAAATAAAAGTTTACTTATTGAGTATTATACCTTAAAAGTAATTTATAATATTTTAAGTCATCCTTTGCATTGTTGCCTAGAATATGTACAACCTGAAAATACATTAACTAAATTTCTCAGAAATGTGCTTGTGGTCTGCTGTAGCAGCAACAGAAATAGCCCAAGAAAATAGCTTAAAATGTTTTTATTAAGTATATATAATATTACAGGGTAATATTTACAAAGTTATGCTTTTTAAATAAAAAAGTTTCTTGGCAAAGACTGCAGATATTCAAAGCTTCAAACAGTGATAAATTGATTTAATACATATTTAAAAAAACCTTTAATAGTAACACGGCTGTAAAACAACTTTGGTCTTTAAATCACTGCAAAAAAAAAAAAAAAAAAATGGCTGAAAAATAGCACACCTTTAATCGCTATGCTAAAAAGCCCCCAAGAGAGGATCTTGCATATGCCAACACTGAAGTTCTCTTTATTTAAAATGGTTGATGGATATTTATATGATGTTGGATCTAATTCTCAACAATGGCTTTTTGTAAATAATTCTCCATTTAATAAAAACAAAATGTTTTCCTCTCTCACCAACCATGATGATATTTTTAAGATTCCACTGATGTTGTCTTACAGAAAAGATTACTACAAATGCTTTCTTTTTTTCAAGAGGCTGAATTCATGGGAAAGCTGATCTTAAATTATCATAATCAAAAACTGTCAAAGCTAAAGGCTGGAAAACTTCCTAGTTACTGCTCATCTCTTCAAAGTTACCTGGATTATCCCTATTAGCCACTGAAAATGACTTAAAGGACCCCCAGTGGGTGATGGCAGTTAGTAATTTTGAAAATATGTCACACGTAAAACTAATGTTTCTATACAAATCCTCAATCATTTCTCCAGTTTCCAACAACAGGTAAATAAAGGGGTACGTATTTCCATACATACACCACAGATCTCCACTTCTGAATACCCATTTTAAGAAGAGAAATCTAGGAGACAATATAGAGCTTAATTCTTATTGATGAGATGGAGGAATAAACATCACTTTTGAACATTATTAATTCAAATCACAATTTGGTTGGTCATTTACTAAACTGACTACAGCATCTTGAAATGAGCAATGATGGTTATACCAATTATGGGATAAAACCAAAATTTGAATTCTGACATTCTCAAGAATTTAAACAGAAAGGTCCTGGAGCTTCCAGGTGAAAAACCATCACATTTTTAGGTTTTCAGAGCATGTAAAATTTGTCAAAAAAGAAAACTCTCTAGCTTACCTTATTCAAAATAGTGGGAAACCTAAATACAACCAACTCTCAATCACCCAATGTATCTGCTGAGAATCTAATGTATGTAAAAAACACAGGAAGATAGAAAGGAAGAAAGAGAAACTCTTGCTATCGAAGGAATTTTAAAATTGAGTGAGAGCGAGACAAAAAAAACCCAAAAACCAAAAACCAAAAAACAAACCCAAAACAACAAACCTCAGCAGAGATAATATGAAGTACTAGGAAAGGTAAGAAACAGGCAGCCAGACAGATTGGGACAGACTGCAAAGGAGAGCCAGTCAGGGAGAAGGGCTGGAGTAGAATGTTTTGGAAGAGAAGAAAAATTTGATTTGGCTGAAAAGGTTGGAAATGTTGCTGCAGAAAATGACAAAAGGCGTCACTCTGAGGACATACAATAAATAAGACTGAATGGAAGAGTCACCAGCAAAAATTGGGATCAGGGAGTAAAAAACATATTACAGGTGAAAGCGAATACATGATGCTCAAAAAATTGTTGGCAATTTAAATTTCTTGTGACACAGATTGAGAACCATTATGAATCTCATTTAAAGAGAAAGAACTGGCCCAAAGGTGCCCAAGCAAGAGGACTCCTGCTGCTGTGGTCCCTTATCCAGAGAAGCTGACAGCTGGTAAAAGCGAGAGTTGATTTCATCTGGCACTTCCCTGCTACCTCTGGTGGTATTGTCTAGGGCAGTGAACGCCTCAAAAGGCAGGCCACACTGAAGAGGACACAATAGATGGATAAGACCCAAGACTGAACCCCAAATAAATGAGAGTTTACTACATATTAAAAGGTACAACTTCAGTTTATAAAAAATTTTATTATAAAGATTTTCATACCTGACCTTCTTAATAGAGAATAGGAATTTTTATCTTTTCAAGTTCATCTGCTTTTTTTTCTCCTTTCAACAAAACTGATTTCTAAAGTAACATATTATATTAGCAAAATGTAAATATTTTCAGAAGGAGAAAGCTGGAGGAGTCATCAGATCTGTATAAAGGAATATAGCTCCCTCCATATATGCTAATATTTTGGACAGCTACACAATCAGGGAAGAAAAAACCTTTTTTTCCAAGAAAAGCTGTCTTGATAGTGTGTTAAGTTTTTTGAGAGGCCTCAGCAGGTCATAAATTTAGGTTTGCTATGGGCAAACCACTTGGTCCCAACATGAAATATGGTAATTAATTTGGCATAAAAGAGGCACATGGGAACAGTCAGTGGACTAAGAAATAACTATTATTAATGCAACTACAAATATGAATGTCTTATTACACAAATAGGAAGAATTACTAGTACTTTTACAGGATATTGGTGAGCAGTCAAAAAGCTTGGCAAATTACTTAGAAGTTTTTAAAGTTTTAAGTTATCAAGTATAATTCCACCCAATAAAGATCTTTGTTTTTAAGTGTTCTTACTAAAAGCACAAAATTAACATTTGCTCTCCTGTAGGTACCCCGCTTTTGTCCATACAGAAGATGCATGTGCCTATCTTATACATACGCACATACAAACACACACCCACAGACGAGGTAAAAAAACGAGTGCTAATACTCTAAAAGTACTCCAGGCGATCACAACTGTCAGAACGTTAATTTTCTTCTAACTGGGGCAGGGAACATGGGTTTTGCTTTACTTTTCAATTGCAGGGGAAGGGGAATAGGAGGCAGGACTACAGGAGGAAGGTGATGAGTGTTTATCATGCAACACAGATACAACAGTAATAAAACCACCCTTCCAAGGGCTGGCCTGTTGGCCTGATGGTGACATACACTATGCTGCCATGCAGGAGACTCATAGTTCAAATTTCAATCTTGCTTTTTTTTTTCATGCCCTGGATCAGAAAGAAAGTGAAGAAACATTGTAGATTTTTGCCTTTAAATCAGAGGAAGGGAATACATATGTTACAACCATAGCTATTTTTGTTGAAAAGTGTGAACACAGTGCTCCGAGAACAAGTCTGGCTCCTTTCTGCAACTGATGCTACCATGTCACTGGACCATGTTCAAAGAGGAGAAAAGGTGCTACATCTTGTACAGCAGAAGCAAATAACAGGAGAACAAGACAGGGTTTAAAGGGCTGTGTGAATCAAAGGGAAACACATCTACCAATAAAAGTACCCTAAATCTGGAAAGCATCTATTACACTATATGCTGAAGGGGGAATGTGTGAATGGCAAACTCCAAGAATGAAAACCACTATCCCCATCAATAGCACATCAATGTAGGAGGCATAAAAGATGTTCCTAACCAAATTTCTCTCTGTACTTAATTCACTATTCCCTTGACCCAGAAGTGGCAGACGCATTCAGGTAACACCATAACTGCCAAAGCTGCTGTGAACCTGAGTTTGCTAAGGTTTCATGGAAGCCACTGTTTTTCACATATTTCTCTGAGTAATCACCAGGTTAGTGCTATGTAATTCTTACCCAGAACCAATTTAAACTGGTGACCTAGAGTCAAGAGGCCCTAGGATCTGAAAGGCATCATTCTTGGAAGTTGCCAATTCTACTTTTGCCCCTAATTGAGTAAAAATAACAACAAAAAACTGGATCTCAATTGGGCACACAACACAGATCATAATTCTTTTATTAACTAAATTACAGCTGCTTTGAATAAAAACTTAATTGTAACAATCATTTAAGGGTCAATGACTTCATTTTCTCCCATGTATGAAAATCAGTTACTTTTCTTGTTTTCTTCTCCCCAACAGCGAATCATCAGGGCCATGGTGCTTAAACATGAGTGTATTCCTTTTATATCTTACTATTCTTCAAGTCAAAGTCCATCACTTCACTTTAGTTATTCTGGAAAATTGAAAAATGGACAAATAATCACTATGTCTATCTTCTATGCATTAAAAAGTAGACACATTTAAAGAATTTGTTTCAGATATACAGTATATAAAAATGAAGAAAACAGATCTGCAAAAGTCAGAGACATAAACCAGGTAAATCATTAGCCTTTTCAATTTCGGTAAGGCCAATTGCCAAACAAAAATAAAATCAACCCAGTCTGATAATCTCTATTAGCTGGGATAGCTCAGGAAAACCCAACTGATATTGATTTTTCAAAGCAAAAGACACTGATCTTAGAATAATTTTGTATCACATTCACTTTAGATCTATACCATTCATTTCATGTAAGTGAAATAAACATATGATCAGGTGGTGGTAAAAGAGAAAACGGTACTGACTGTGATTCCCAGGAAGGTATTTTGAACCTAGTTCACTGACAAGGCAGACACGCTGTGAGCACCAAGCAGTTGCCAGTAGGAAGGACCCACCAGACAGACATTTAAAAAACAAATTCTGATCAGCTGTTAGCAAAATTAAGGGAATTTCAACAGTCATCATAGATTTATTGTGCTATGAACACACAAATATTCAAGGCAAAACTGCTTTACAATATCTCCTCATGCAGTGGTTCAAAAAAAGTCATGTCTTAAAGGGAAATTAACAAAGGAAGAGGCACTCAAGGTTCTTATACTGGTTTTCTGAAAATGGAGAAAAGTTTAATTTCTTCATATAGTTACACAAGAATGACACCACGGTAGGAAAAGGAAAGAACAAAGAGATTAAAAAATAGGACACCATAATGTAAACATGAGCAAGCCATGCCACAATTTCAGGCACCAGTTTTTTTTTGTTTTTGTTTGTTTGTTTGTTTAATGTCTTTTAATTCATTCCTACTAACTACAAAATTTTTTTTTCTGGAGGGCAGTGGCTTGTATAACAAAAAAGAAGCATTTAAAGGCTGTGACACAAACCTACAAAAATGGGATCATTCTGTGATTTCCTTGTTGAACACAAGCTTACACATTGTTTTAAACTTCATTCACCAATATGTGATCAGAGTGTTTTCGATCTTATGCAAAAATTAACTGTACTGTGGGAAATATAGCCCAGATTTAGGGTACTTTGACTGATGGATGTGTTTTCCTTTTTATTCACACAGCCCTTTAATGCTGCAATTTAGTGTAGAGATGAGCAGGTAGGTCACAGACTTTAAAACGGTAAAATATAAAGAAACTTCACGATCAAGGAATGACTATAAATATCAAAGGTATGAAGAAATTTTTGATAATAAGATAAAAACACAGTTATTAAATGCCAATGGAATTGAAGAATTTAGCATGTTAAGGTAAAATCAAAATGAATGTTTGCAGCACTCAATATCTCAGATTTACTTATCTTTAAATACTAACAAATATATGTCTTTGAAAGAGTCAGTAAAGATTAGAAGTTATTATTAGTCCAGAGTTTCAAAAAAAGAAGCAAAAACTGAGTAACTAAACATTGCTCGCTCTCTCTCTTTCTCTCTTTTTAATCCTCTCCCAAAAGGTTAGCACCCAAGTTCCTCCTTGGAAAAGCAGAGATATTAAGTCCCCATGGGTTAAATGCAACAAAATCAGTAACAAAGCACAAAAGAGACTGTCAAAATGATAAAGATTTGGGCCAGATTATCTATGTGCTTTATAAAAAGCATTTTTAAGTTAAAGTCACCAGACACTGAATCTGAAAAATGTTTTACAGAAAGTGGAAATTTCTCTTTTCTGTGAACCACCTGACTGGAGAGTCTGATTTGTGACACCCTGCACCCTTTATAGTAGTAGTTTTATATTTTTTGGCAAAATAGATTTAAGCTTTATACATCAAGAAGCATGAATCTTTATCATTTGACAATGTCCCTTTTATTAAAATGAATGCCATACTATGAAGAAGCTTTTTAATTTCTTTTCAATGTCCATGTTTCAACCAATCTATAATTATGGGCCCATTTTATACTTACCATCATTCATCATCCCTTTTGATTCTTTAAATGCTAAGGATTAGTAACAAGTCAAGCAGGCAGTTAGTAAGGTTCTACGAATAGAAATCATTTCTAAACAAACAGATATGCAATAATATTGTACTAACTATTGCACTACTATATAGACACATTAATTTTAAGGCTATCATTTTATCACAAAGCCTTTCTGTGGATCACATCCACATTATCCACAAAGGAAACAGATTTAATTGGGAATACAGGTAGAGATTTACGTACAAAAAAAGTGAGATGTTTTGGTCTCACTCCATGGTTACTGTCTGTATCTTTCTGAAATTTATAAATCAGAATTGGAAGTAATTGAGATTATTCTCTACTGAGGAGGTATTATGCTTCATCTTGGACAATATAAAAGGGCAGTGGTCCCTTTGCCCAAATATCACTTGGTTAGGGCAAGCAACTACTTGGAGAGACAAAGAACGGTGTATTTTTCTCAGAGGTAAGAATATTACAAAAGCAATACAACTAATTCCTGATGAATAATCAAGAAAAGAGAGGTCAAGGCAAGAGAAAAATACTAGATTCTTCCTATCACATAATTAGGGCATTCTAACTGCTTTGAGGGCCAGTTCAAATATATCATATAGTAATGGATCAAGAATAATATACAAGTTTGTAATAACCACATACCATTAAGGGGTTCCTCTACAGCTTTCTGGAAAATATTTAAAATATATTTACATAAAAATATAATTGATTTTATGTCCTTTTATACTAAAATTTATATACACTAACATTTAAACTATATAGTAAAAGCAGTGAATCCTATTATCTTAAAACAAAATAAGGGAGGTAAAGGTTAAAGCAAAGCTTTCCAAGTCTAGTTAATAGTTAATAACAACTGTGTTATTCTCTTAATATTATTTTTCTATGCAGAATTTCCCACCCCACCCTGTCTCTATCAATTCAAGAGATCCTAACTTCTCAAAAAAATATTAAAGTGCGAATATAAATAGCAACAACAGAATAAATAATAGATACAGTTAAACAAGAGATGGGAGCAAAACAGAATCATGAAAAAAGTGTTAGGATTTAAAGGTCCAGTGGTTGGATTATCTCTAAGAGACACTTTAAAAACTGCTGGCTGCTTGTGATCAATGCAGCTATGCCACCAATCTTTTTAGAATAAATACCTGTGGTAAGACCAGCACACCCCACCCCAGCCTGCTCATTAGTTATGCGTATTAAGGCTTGTCAAACTTGGAAACATACGTAACCTCCACTTCCTGTCACAGGAGACTTCAGCTTTCCAGATAGATCTATCACCAATCCTTTATAGGAAGCTGAGTACAATATAGTCCTTCCCAGATCTTATTTCCATAAAATAGCTCTTGGGCCTGTTACCACAATGTGTCTATAATTATAAAGATTTTTTTTTTCTCCTTGTTTATCCCCTCCTAAACTTGCTCCTTTTCTTGGAATTTTCTCAGATAGCTTATTAAGATATCCAAGGTATAGTGAAACCTGTAGTACAATTTTAAGGAAGAAAAATGTTTATAAAATGGGGGGAGAGAGGAGATTGAATCATAAATCAAAACAGATTTTTCAGTAATACTTACATTTATTTTATAGAGTACAATTTTTAATGAAGTCAATTTAATATTATATTTCTCTTCCTCATTTTTAAACCTGAACTTGTCATTCTGTGTATACACATCAAATAGATCCAACAGGTCAGACAATGTATTGGAATCAGCTTCCTTCTAATTGCAGAGATAACAACTGTTATATTCCAACATGTAAACTTCACAATTCTGGGAGTGAGAAGTCAGTACAATCTTAAGAAATCATTACTTCCATCTCATTGATACTACAATGACCAAAAATAGGTTTTAAAATAGAACTGGACCTATTCATGCAAAGTTTGTGAAATGATTTCAACATTCTCTTAATTTGATGTTACATTAAACTGCAAAACAGTTCAATATCTCAATTACCATTTTTCAGTCTAATCCATCAAGTTATCATTCCCAATTTATTCAATAAACTTTAACTTACCCTAGGAGGTTGTATAGTCTTCTGATTAGAAGCTGATATAAACAAACATAATAATATAAATTTAGTGAATGAAATAAATTGAGGTAACATGTTTAATTTTAAGATGAAATGTTCAAGCCTAAAACTAGAAGTGCCAGAGACTCCAGTGAAAGAGTTTCAGCTTTGATAGTCTATTAAAAAATATACAATATTCTTGATTATATGGACTGATAAAGAAGGTAACCCATGTACATCGAATACTAAACACACACATTCTCTCATTTGTGCATGCCATCTCTCCCCCAAATCAGCCACCTGTTACACTTGTTAGTGGAAAAACACTGTCATCTACTCACCCCCACCATGCACTCTACACCCCTTCCTATACCACCCAGCCAGAATGTGGACAGAATGTGCACGGACTGCTCTCCCTCTATTCCATCACCCTTAGCTCATTGCTTTTGTCCATTTTCTGCCCCCAACCCGCTGCCATCTTTCCAGTTTTCAAAGCTCCAGATACTAAAAAACTAAAAAAAAAAAAAAAAAAAAAAAAAAAAAAAAAAAAATCAGATCTCTCTGAGTTTAAACAGTTACTCTAGGCAGCTAGTTACAGCCACAATCAAGCCCTCCTCTATATATTCCTTCTTATCCTCCTGAGTTTCCTTTTTCACTGGTTCTGAATGGATTAGTTAATAAAGATGAAAAAACATAGGGCATGAAGAAAGTGACAAAAAGGAAAATAATTACGCTAGTTGGGTAGGGAAGAAGAGATAAATTTCCTTATAAAAATAAGTGAGGAGGCCCCAGAGCAGCTAAAGCCAGTCTTAAATACAGAATCAGAGTCCTATAGATCTGGAAGCATCAACCAGTAACAGTCCATGGATCACTCACTAGGACGGTCATCCAATTCCACTGCAACTTGCACTAGATGATAGCACTGGATCTTCTTATTAACAGATTTAGGCAAGGCCACAGGACTGCTTTAGTGTTCTGTGCTATTTATTACCACTCCCCTACCCCTACTCTAGCAAGCTTCTGCAGCTGATGCGAAATGGTATGGGTCCTGACCCTAGGACAACCAATCTACGGGCTAGCCAGAAGTTGATAAGCCTCTCTCAAACAGGAAAAATGGCAACTGACAGCACTGCTAAGTATCTCTCTCCCACTGGGCTAGCAAGCTTCTGCAGCTGATGCGAAATGGTATGGGTCCTGACCCTAGGACAACCAATCTATGGGCTAGCCAGAAGTTGATAAGCCTCTCTCAAACAGGAAAAATGGCAACTGACAGCACTGCTAAGTATCTCTCTCCCACTGGAATCTGGAGAGGAGAACAGAAAGAAGACTAGAAAGTTGGTGATGGGAAAGTAAAGTAAAAAAGAAACAGAAAGTAGGCAAGGAGAAGCTCAAATCTTACAGATGTAAGTAAGAAAAGCTACTGGAAGACATGAATAGGATAAAAAATAGGAACATAAAGGAGAGGTTGAGCTACCTGGATAATAGGTAAAGAATCAAAGACAGAGGAACTCAGTAACTATAACCAACAGAAGGGCATCAAATAACTCATGTTGCTCAGAGGGCAACATGATAATTCAGTCCTTAGAGATGTATTGGATCCTTCCAATTCCTAGGCTATACACTGTGTGGCCCAGTTATGTACCTGGCACTCATAAGATTCCTGTCTCTGTTAGTGCCATGTGGGCTTTAAGTAAACTGCCCTTACTGTGGAGGCACTTGGGTGAGCAATTTGGTTCTTGCATCCAAACAAGAGGGCAACTTCTTTTTAAAGTACTATGAAGTAAAATGGGTTGGGGTGCACCACATCTGCAGCCTCCCAAATAAACCAAGCATAATTATAAAACTTTATCAGGAACCATCAAGATAGTTATATGTTGCTATGGGTCAAATGTGTCCCTGAAAAGTTCATGTGCTGGAAACTGGATTCCCACTGTAATAGTGTTAAGAGGGTAGGAAATACGATTTTGATATTTGAAAAAGGGGGGCTTTGAGAGGTGACTGGATCATGAGGACTGTGCCCTCGTGAATGGATTAATCCATTAATGGAGTAAGGGGTTGATGGTTCAATGGGTTGTCATGAGTGTGGACTGATGGCTTTATAAAGAGAGCACATGTGAGAGCTCTTGCCATTCTCGCCACATGATCCCCTGGTCACCACGGGACTCTGCAGAGAGTCACCACCAAAAAGAAGGCCCTCACCAGATGTGTTCCCTAGACCTTGGACTTCCCAGCCTCCAAAACTGTAAGAAATAAATACATTTCTTTCTAAATTACCTAGTTTCAGGTATTCTGTTATGAGTGACAGAAAAAGGACTAATACACACGTATATACAACTCATTTCAACTAAACCATGCCTTTTATCTAGGTTCTATAAAGAAAAAAAGAACTGAACGGATATTTAAATTTCTAATTGGTAATATGAAGGGTCAGAGATAAGATTTTAGAATTATATTTTTGAGCTCATAAATTTAATTATCAAAATTAATATTAATAATTGCCAACTAACTATTTTTCTTCAATAATAACATGTAAGGAATAGTTCCTAAGTTCCAATTCTTGGGTCCAAGGAATATCACAGTTGGCTAGACCATTCTGAAAAAAGAGATCTATGGAGAACAGTGATTCAAAGGGACACCAGTCAGTTTTGACCCCCTCTAATACTATAAAACTAAACAGTGCAGAAATTAATTTCACCTGAGTTAATTCTCTCCAACAGGGATATAACCCATGTGACAAAAGAACGATTATGATTGATCTGCTATAACATGGCCCTAAGGCATTGACAGCCATATATAGAGATATATTTTTTAACCACAAACCTTAAGCAGTCCATATGAGCTTACTTGCAATGCTTCTTGATTTATTCTTCTCTCCCTGAACAATTGGCCACATGCCATAAATGTTTCCAGGTTTTGAATTTTTCAAAAACACTTATTCTAATGATTCCAGATTTACTTCTCCCCAATGACAGACAATAAAACACCTTTGAATATATATATGGAATTTATATATATCAATATATAATGACTGTAAATGCCCTATACAAACAAGACCAACTTTAGTGAGTTTAATTAGTTCCTTTTCATCTTTTATACTCCTGCGTTCTCATGTGAAGTTATTGTTCTCACCTGCTTATCTCATTTATAAAATTAAAATGCTTCTGGTACAAAGGAAAAAAATCCAATAGGGTTAAAGAAGGCTATAGCAAGTGAAAGTCAAAATTCTATTTTTTAAAATAACAATTAAGGCTACAAATTTAAACTTGGAAATAATGAAAGTTATAAAATTAAAATTCTCATAGGGGCATTAACTCACTCTTAAAGAGAGAGCTGTGTCTTTTTAAAAAAAACTATCTGAGGATTTTATTGCATTTAAATCAAGACACATTCCTTAGGCTTTTCTAAAACTAAGCATGTGCAATGAGTAAAAATTACTTTGAAAACTTTTAAATTTTGTATTTCCTGATACAAACACTCAAATTTGCAACCTTAATGTTACATATATTCAGATTTACACAGATTATATAAGCAAAACATACTTATTTTCCTAGTCTACCACACTACCTAAAGAGCAGCTTTTCTGTACCTTTTCTCTTCTTGCCTTTCAACTGACCGAAGGGGAGCCTCTGAACTCTGGCATCAGACAAGTTGATTTGAAAAGTTAATTTACGATATTCTCAAAATGTCAGTAAAATTAAGAGTAAATTCTTAACTTACATATAGTAAATATATTTATATGTTAAACTACAATAAAGAAAAAGTGATTTGGGGTACTTTTTGGTATTCATTTTCATTTCAATTTTAATGTTAGAACAGTGACATTTACAGTGGTTTCACAGGCTTCTTAGGATGTAAGTGATGAAGAAGGCAGGAGAGGGAGATCAAGGGGGTGGCGGCTAAACAGCGCCTATTTCCACTGAAGGCAGTATCACCAGATCTGACAACAATTGTACTAAACATCATTCTTTGCTAGATATGGAAGGCATGTGGAGGTGTGGAAGAAAAGGGTTGAGAGAGTGAGGAAAAAATAAGAACAAAAAGCTGATCACCAATCAGACACCTAATACTACTTCATCAGAGTTGTGTGGATACTGCAGGTCACTGTTCTCAGGCCTTTATGAGGAGCAACAAAATCAGCAATGTCATCTTCAAGAACCAGACACATGGTGATTAGAAGATGAAACAAAAACAGAACACGCATCAACAGTCAACATGTTCACACTGTTCAACTGTAGCCACCAACATGTTCAACATGTTCACACATGTTCAACTGTAGCCACCACACAAATTCCATTTTGCTTCAGATGTCTTAATAGTGTTTTATGAACTTATGTGGCATGAAATTAGGAAATATCACTGAGAAACAATGAAGACTTATGAACACATAAAGACAGATAGAATTTGGCTCAGTATTTTAATATTTATCTAGTAAGCATTAATTAAAGAGGGACAGAGAATATATAACGGGATCAAACTCAATTATCACTCACCAAGAACTGAAGTTCAGGAATAAAGGTAAAATTTCTTTGAAAGTATTATGCAAGTTATATGGAAATGATTTGATTATAACAATTCAAGTTTTATAATAATTTAAAAAAATACATACAGTAAAGTTCACCTAGAGTAAAACATAAACACTGATTTTTTTACTCCATTAATTTGTAACTTTGATTATTTTGATAGGTGGTTAAAAGTTTACTTCATAAATTAAAAAAACAGAGGGCTGGCCAGTTACTTAGTTGGTAGAGCATGGTTCTGATAACACCAAGATAAATGGTTTGGATCCCCATGCTGGCCAGACACCAAAAAGAAAAAAGAAAAAAAGAATTTTGTTAGCTGGCCAGGTAGCGCAGTTGGTTAGAGTGTGGTGTTGATAACACCAAGGTCAAGGGTTCAGATCCCCTTACCAGCCAGCCACCATGAGAAAAAAAATTTAAAAAAGATTAGTATAAATCAGGTTGTAGGGAACATCTACACACTATTTCAGACACTATTAAAAGCATCTCTCTCTATATATATAATAAAAATTTACACAGAAAACTGTTTGAAAATTGGCAGATTAAATACAAAGGTTAGAAACAATGAAGCTAATTTCACACTAAGAATTGATTTTAGAAGTAGTAAAAGCCTAAATTTTGAAACTCAATGTTTCTATTATATTGGTATTAACTAAAAGTGTTTTAAAGTCATGCATTGGAGGTCCTTCACTTTAAAGTAATAAAAGTGACAGATTTTGAATTTCAATTCCTGTCTGTGAAGGGTATCCATGTCTGTAAATAGTGTGCAAGAAGAAGAGTAAGTGACAAATAAATAGGTCGGTCTCTGCAAAAGAGCTTTATCATAGAAACAATGGAACAATTAAAAATCCTTTTCTAGGGCCGGCCCGGCGGCGCACTGGATAGTGCGCCGCTTGGGAAGCGCGGCGGCGCTCCCGTCCGAGGGTTCGGATCCCACATACAGACCGGCTCCCGCTCACTGGCTGAGCGAGGCGCGGGAGCAACACCGAGGGTTGCGATCCCGTTGCCGGTCCCCAGTCCGGTACGGGGGCAACACTGAGGGTTGCGATCCGTTGCTGGACACGGAAAAAAAGACCAAAAAAAAAAAATCCTTTTCTATTATTTAAAGTGGATCCTCAACGATCTCTCCTTTTATTATTAAAAAACCTATACATTCTAATATATAAACCTATTTTCTTTTAAACCAGTTTATAATTCAAACTTTTCCTTAATTCATATGCCTTCTACCTTCTTTAATTACCCTCAAATCATTCCATTTATATTTTTCCATTTTTAGGGTTATCAATACACTTCTGTAGTCTTAAACTGAAAGAACCAATTAAAGGCATTTTCCAAGTTATACTTGTATATCTACAATTCTTGGCATAGGATAACAAAAATAAGATTGACTTACCCACAAATTTCATATAAACTAATCCAAGTAATTGTGCTAGAGCCATGATACCCAAACCTGAAATCAGAAGTGGACCATGCATTGGTATACAAGCTGTTAAAAAAAAAAAAAAAAAAAAAAGAAATTTTATGTTAGAAATGCATATGAAAGAACCAAACTTTTAAAGGAATCAATGATAACAGTAATAATATCAAATTTTAAGGAAAGCTAATTATTTTTCTAATGATCAAGAAACAAAAATTATCTACATATGTTTATTATTATTCACTTAGTGAAATCGCTATAAATTATAAGAAAAAAGCCCTCTTTTGCATAACACACACCTTCTCATATTGAAACTAATGGAAAGTAGTGTGTAAAGTCTAAGGCTCTAACCAGTTGGAACTTGGTTATTTTCAACGTTCTTTCACAAATACAAGCTACATAGAACAATCAACCCACAAGCCATATACATCAATATTCTCATAGCAAATGTATCTCACCGGGGGAAAATGAGAGTTAAAAAAGAAAAGCTCACAACACCAAATGCTGGCAAGTATGTGGAGAAACAGGAACTCTCATTCATTGACAGTAGTGATACAAAAATGGTATAGTCATTTCAATACTGTGAGTTTGGCAGTTTATTACAAAACTAAGCATACCATTAACATACAACCCAGCAATTGCACTCCTTGGTATTTATCCAAATGGAATTGAAAACTTATGTCCACACAAAAATACACACATGGATGTTTATAGCAGCATTATTCATAGACACAAAAAATGGAAAACAACCAAGATGTCCCTCAATAGGTTAATGGATAAACAAACTGTGGTACATTCACACAATGAAATATTATTCAATGCTAAAAAGTAATGAGCTATCAAGCCATGAAAAGACATGGAGGAAACTTAGATGAATACTGCTAAGTGAAAAAGCCAATCTGAAAAGGCTACAAACTGTGTATGACTCCAACTATAAGACATTTGGGAAAATGCAAAACTATGAAGACCGTAAAAAGATCAGTGTTGCTAGGGGTTTACAGGGAGGGAGGGATAAATAGGTGGAACACAGGGGATTTTTAGGGCAGTGAAACAATTCTGCATAATTCTACAATGGTGGATGTATGTCATTATACATTTGTCATACCCATAAAGTGGATAACACTAAGAGTGAACCCTAATGTAAATTATGAACTTTGGGTGATAACGATGTGTCAGTGTTGGTTGATCAATTGTAACAAATGCACCACTCTGGTGTGGGATGTTGAGAGGCTGTGGCTGTGTGGGGTATATGGAAGGGGCAGGGGTGTATGGGAATTCTCTGTACCTTCCACTCAGTTTTGTTGTGAACCTAAAATGGCTCTAAAAAATAAAGTCTATATATAAGAAAAAAAGAAAGAAAGAAAAAGAAAAAGGAAATAGAGCTCTGTCTGAGAGAAACACATACAGGGACTATATATAGAAGGATATGACACTTACCTGAGACACAGAGGCTTAGTCCAACCAGAGCAAGTACATAGCCCAGGACCTGAATTAACAATATGGCAATGGCAAAGGATGTCATCTCAAAAGCTGGGGGAAGGAAAAGGATATAACAGAAGCGTGTTGAGAGTATTTAAGAACCAATCACTCCTACTTGCAATCAAAAAAGACTGAATAGTGACCAAAAACTGCCTCTGGAGTTCCTTGTCAAATGGTAGTTGCGATTCCAGTGACCAAACCCTTCCACACAAGTAGTCAGCTCCAGATTCACACATTCAGCAGCCTTTATTTTCACAGTCAGCTGAGTTGGACTGGCAGTTTTTACCCAAAACCTCACAATAATGCTGCTTTTACCACACTTGTGCATTTTACAATATGAACCACTATTATGCATGACTTCTCCACACGCATACAAAAATTGCTCTGGTGCAGAGAACCATTATACAAACACGTGATTGTAAACATCATAACCTCTATCTTGTGCATCTAGGTGACCTGTGATTTTTTAATAATACCTTCCCAATGTATAGCAAGCCACAGATAGGCTCTGAGACCAAGTGTTAAATATGACTCAAATAATAATAATGATAGAAATGTCTTAGTGATTTACTCTCAAAATGCAGTGAAAACTTACTGATCATGGTTTGGATATCCATACCATCTTTTAAAACTACAGTGTCAAGGTTTGCCAATAGCTAAGAAATTAGGTGTCTACTAATTATGATTTATAACCTCATTTTTTAGAACTAGTCTTTTTGATGCAGAGGCTTAGCAAAGGAAGAGAAAGGGTATGTTTAACATCTACTTATAACTTCAAAGAACTGAAATTAGAATGTGAAGATAATCACTAAGATTATATAGCATAACTCAAAATTACACTGGCATCAAATACAAATGAAAATTAATTTTTTAAAAATAACTGCCTCAAAGATCTAAAATAACTTTAAAATTAATCTGTATGGGGAAATGTGACTTAGAATAGCATGAAAAATCTTTTAATAAACCAACTTTTCAGTTGTGGAAAATAAGTCAAACATTAATATTTTCACCAAAAAAGCTGTTTTTTTAAATTAAAAAGGTAGGAAAAATCATGCTGTAATAATAAATACTCACCTGTCTTAAACACACAGTACTGAAGTAATATTAATATTCCTGTAGAAATTACAATTAAACCAAGTCCAATAGCATTCTTTACTGAATATTCACCTGTTAAGAAATAAAAATATTTAAAATATTTTTCTACATTCTTCCTACTCTTCAGGAAGTTAAAATAATTAATTTATTAAATGCATTAATCTCAATATTACTCTTAGGAACTGTGATAAGTTTAAAAATATATGTATCCCCCAAAACTTCACATGAAATGTGACTATTTTTCAATTATTTAAGATATCTACATCTCAACCTCAATGCGTCAAAACCTTGAATTGGCTCTACCTCCTTAATTACCTTATAGAATTTCAGATTAGAAACTTTGTAGCCATCTTTTACCATTGCCTTCATTTGCTACTTCAGTTTGTCCCAAAGTCAAATCGATTGCTCTTTCAAGTTGTCTTCTGAATTCATCTCCTTCCTCCCTATGCCCTTCACTAATTCCGGCTGCAAACAGAGCTGCCAAATTTATGTCCCTAAATATTACATCTGTACTCTATTCTTCTCAAAAAACAAAGTGGTGGTCTACAGCCCACCACGTTGAGTATCAGCCTTTCTCTGCTTTTCTTTGCATGTGCTATGTACCTTTATTTCCCACTCACACTCCCATCCCCCAAATGCAACTGCCATTTCAGACAGACTTGATTCCCACATTCATTCCCACTTCCGTGTCTTGGCCAATGAAGTCTGCCTCTGTAGGGGTTAAGTGGTGGCCCTATAGAAATGTATTTCCACACCTTAATGCCTAGAACCTGTGAATATTATCTTACATGGCAAAAGACTATTTTGGATTATACAAGTGTCCTTGTAAGAGAGAGGCAGAAGGAGATTTGACACAGACACACATAGGAGAAGAAGCAGAGGAGAGAAGGAGCCCATGTGACCACAGAGGCAAACACTGGAGTTACGCTGTCATAAGCTAAGGAATGCCAAGGATTACTGGAAAATACCAGAAGCTAGATGAGGAAGGAATGGATTCTTCCCTAGAGCTTTGAGAGGGAGTGTGGCCCTCAGGACACCGTAATTTCAGACTTACGGCCTCTAGAATGGTGAGAGAATTTCTGTTGTTTTAAGCCACCCAGTTTGCAGTAAATTTGTTAAAACAGCTCTAGGAAACAAATATACCTCCCCTGCCTTAGAAAATCTACATCCTGTGTTCCCTCCTAGCAACTGTACATCTTACCTGGAATTAAAAGAATGGCTCCAACAATGACAACTGCGGTGACCACTAGTCCAGCAACAAGTGAAATAATGGTTTTCTCATCTGTATGACTGGGTTTATATTTAAGTGCTTCAAATAAAATAAAATAAAATAAAGAATTAAATGAATTCAATCAAGAGTGAAGACATTTCTGTAACTTACAACATACAGAGACAAACTGATAACTTACCATAATTGAATAACCTCTGAGGAACAACTCCTTCGCATCATCAAGTCACCTCACATCCTTTTCATAAGTCAGTGGATAGTGTTGTGGCAGTATAAATATGAATACTTGAATTTTTAAGTGACAATTTATTCCCCTACACTTTAAAGAATGAAGTTATCTACATCAGGTTTTCTCAGCCAAAGCACTATTAACATTTTGGACTAGATAAGTCTTTCTGTGGGGGGCTCCTCTGTGCATTATAGAATGTAAAGCAGCAGCCCTGGCCTCTACATACTAGATGACAGTAACAGCCCCCCAGTTATGTGAATCAAAATTTCTTTGGACACTGCCAATGTCCCCTGACAAGCAAAATCACACAAGATCGACAATACAACACTGATATACTTCATGCTGATGGGGAATAACTGCTTAATTAGTAATACTGGCAAAAAGGGAACTTTGTTTCCCTTTTATGTAAAATCAGTAAAATATCTATCTGGAAATCTAGATATTTTCTTTTGAAAAACAGGACAGAATAAATAGTGAACAAATCACACCCTTGTAAAATCCTGAGGGAGAAAAATATTTAAATTGTTCAACCAAAATATTTTTTTTTCTTTCTTAATTTTATTTTGTCGATATACAAAGAGGTTGATTACTGTGGCCATTACCGAAACCCCCCCTCCCTCCTCCCGCTCCCTCCTCCCACCCAACAATGTCCTTTCTGTTTGCTTGTCATATCAACTTCAAGGAATTGTAGCTGTTGAGTCTTCTTCCGCCCTCCCCCCCGTTTTTTTTGTGTGTGTGAATTTATTTATTTATATTTAGCACCCACCAATAAGTGAGAACATGTGGTATTTCTCTTTCTGTGCCTGACTCGTTTCACTTAATATAATTCTCTCAAGGTCCATCCATGTTGTTGCAAATGGCAGTATTTCATTC